CACAAGCATGCATTAATGCTTCAATGTGGCCTCTTTGCGTTTCATTTACCCATCCCCATCCACCAAAACACAGTTCTTTATTAATTCATTCATTCCTTACCTGGCTGCAGCCCACATAGAATCCATGGAGCACTCTGATTTGCATCACATTTGCCTGTACTAACATCTTGGGATATTCAACAATGTGCATTGTCACAACGTTGTTGTGTGGCTCACTCCATTCTAAGCGACCTTCTCACTGCATACAAACAATCGTTTCAAAATACATGTGATTTCAGCTATTCACGTTGACGATCTAAGCGGTTCCTCACTGCATGGGCGAATAGCCAGTGCGTCATAGGCCTCATTATTAATGTTGGGGATAGGTTGCGAGATGGCCGCAACAAGGTAGACCAATTGGAAGTTCACGCCACTCTGAACGATCCATGAGTTGCCAGTACCGCATTTCCATGGCATCATTAGCAATTTGTATCAGCCCAAGCAAGCGAGCACAAACTGGTGCCAGTTGAGTCTTTCGTCATATTATGCACGCAACAATGACGGTAAGTGTGGCCTTAAACTAAGTCGGGCTGAACTTACTACGAAATGGGCAGGTGGAGGTAGTAGGCCTAGTCAGCAGTGCCAGTCTACCTGTGCGAACCTCACTCCTTGAGAAATGCACGGAATGTAGACAGGTGGATGGCGACTAGTCGGTAACTACTGGTAGTGGTAGTGTGGGATTTGAGGGTAGACACAGAGGTGTGTGGATTTGGGAAATGCATTTCCAGTTTGGTTTAGTCCTCTGCTTGCCCGTCAACCAAAGCATTTGTACAGAGCAGGTTCTTGTTTATAGAAAAGAACTTTTTTCTACCTGAAACACCTCCATGTATTTCTACACAGACTCCTATCTTCCTCAAGCTTTTCTCTTTGTAGCTATCATCCTGTCCAACTTTGAGTCCTCACAAGAAGATGCGTCAACAAGTGGTGGTGACATCGTTTCCATGTGCATGGCCTATGTCTTGTTATTCACTCCGACTCCTTGCCTCAACGACTTACCTGATTGGAACAGCTCAGTGCACAATGAGACGCACCATAATAAAACAGGCGAAGTCGTCAATGGAAATTTTATTTGGAGGATTGAGCAAGTACAGTGCAGTCAAGTAATACAATTACCACACTCCGCTTTTGGAAAGATGCCTTTTGATACACCCAACTAGGGTGGAGCCACACCTGCTCGTCACCACTGATGAGGCGAATACCGGGGACTGAGGCACAGCCATGGAGTGGATTCGATTGATGGCTAGTGGAGACATCACCACTACTCACACCTCGTGCGTAGTTGGTGTGGATGCCCTCATCCAGTTACTCCATGTCAATTCCCTCCTACGGTGACGTTTGTCTGTGTCAACTTGCCACCACAAGAATTGCCGCCGCGTTTTGTGTCCGCTGCTTTAATATTACTACAAGTAGGTCGAAAATGTCTTGTTTTGTAATCATTTAGACAGCAGAATCGAGAGGTGATTAGTGGATATGAATGGGTGTAAATGTCGTGTCACCTCCCAAGTTGCCTTGAAACGTGGACAGATATGGACGACGACTATGGAGGCGAAGATAAAGATCCCTCTAGAGGTAAAGGAGTCGAAAGTGATAATGCAGACATCTGAGA